AGCCATGGACCCACCAAAACGAGTTATCCGTTAAATTTCACCAAATCTGTCACAAAAGGGGATATTTGCCACCATTCGAAGAGTTCAAGGTTTTAAAAGCCTCCGCTTTTAGTAGAAGGGCCAATTTGCCACCATTTAAAGAGTGTAAGGGCTGATTTGCCCTTTTCATCATTTTAGAAGGAATATGAAGTAAAATTTATATTTAAAATCACCAAAAAGTTAACAATAGTATAATATAAATAAAATAAAAAATATAATATTTCTTGCTAAAAAAAACACTATTTTGATATGACTAGATTTTTTATTCAATTCATGCTTTTTTGTTCAATTCATTGTATGAATTAAAACTATCATTACTCTGATTGATTCCCATCCCATAAGTAGGGTTCTCTCCTTGACACACACAAGGAAAAAAAAGTTTCAAACCATTTATAATCTAAAAAGAAATGGATGAATAAATTTCAAAAAGATAAGAGTTATGAAATTCTTTCAAAAGAACAATCATCATATGTTTTATAAAAAAAAAAATTCATAAAAAAATAATAAAACTAGTAGAGAACATAGTTCATACAATGCTATACATATTTTAGAGATAAAGAGGAAATTATGATACATTAATGTAGAGAAATGTAAGTCAAGGTTTATATATGGTTAAATATCAATTTTAGTTCCTCAACTTTAGGGTTTTTCATAGTTTTCATCTCAAAATTTTTTTTTGCACTTTTGTGGCCCTCAACTATGAAAAAATGCATTTTTTTAGTCTGTCTATTAATTAGTCTATTAAGGATGTCCAAATATACACATTTTTTAGCCCTTAACTTTATATTATATATTATAAGTTAAGAGACTAAAAATGTGTATGTATTATAAGTTGAAGGACTAAAAATATGTATATTTAAATATATTTAACAAACTAACAAATAGAATGACTTAGAAAATGCATTTTTCATAGTTGAAAGATAAAAAAGTGCATAAAAAAGTTAACAAATAACAATTGTGCAAAAGCCTAAAGTGAAAGGACCAAAATTGACATTTAACCTTTATATATAAGTAGGTAGGAATATGGAAGGGCATGGAGAAAGATAATGAAAAAAAAATGTCATCTAAATATAACTATAAAGGCCAAAAAGAGAGAAGTAACCATTAAGTTTAGAAATTAATCTAAATGTGCAATAGTAGTTTATTGAATTGAAAATAAAAGGTCTCAAAAATAACATACATAGATACATATAGATACAAAGATTAATTAAGAATAAAATATATTACATGATGAAATATTTTTAATTAATTATTATTATTGAGGTGTTCTTATTAATTTTTTCTCATGACATAATTGAAAAACTATTTAATGCAATCTTTTA